GTCGTGGCCAAAGGCAGGCGCCGTATATACACCTTCCTGTCCAACGGACTCCCGGATATTACTCCGCTGTCACGAGCCATTATACTCTTCTTTTTCTCTCCGCGATTGCAAGAGACCAAGAGATTTATTTACACACACACACACACACACACACACACGTGATCGAGTAAAGACACAAAACGATCTGTATCTACGAAAACCAATTTGGTTCTTCGTCTTGGCACCCGAAAAATAGTGCGGGTGTCGCTCGTTTGTTTTTCCCAACTCGACTGTAAAACACACGGCTTTCGTTTCGCTTCGTTTTTTATTGAAATGTCGAGTTGTGATGGCCGCAAAACGAAGACGATTGAAAATTCACGCGACCGTGATAAAGTTCTTGAAACTTTGGCTTACGATGAAAAAACATAGAGAAACACGAGTCTAGAGATTGTACTCGATGTTAATATTCATCATCATCGAATGCCGCTCTTTCGATCCATCTAGAAGTAATTAGCATTTATATTGAGGAATACATTATTGCTTCGTACGAAGGTTCGACGTGGCTCACGGTGTGCAGGTTTTTGCTTTAATTCTGCGAGGGGAAAATAAACCAAGGATTTTTTTTTGTTTTTGACAAGCTTTGCTTTGAATGGTGCTTCAAATGGATGTGATTAAAACGCTTTTTTTCTTATCAGGTAGTAAAATTAAACGAACAAGTGATGAACCCCATTAAAAAATACTGTTCTGCGTTGTAATCTGATATAAAGCCACTATTTTATCATGCAAAATTATTTTATTTTTGTTTTTGATTTCTATCGAAAAACAAATAGCAAAAACCTCGACCGCTACATTTAAAAAAAATAGTCATTAATGTTAACATTGCTAATTTTTTATGAACATGTGTATTAATTTTCTCGAATTAATACGCAATGTTTGATTGTTGGATTTTGTTTTATGAATACACTGAAAAAAATTTTTATTAATCCAAATAACCATTTATTTTAATACAAACAAAAAACTATTTATTGAGTAAAATTGATTAAATATTATGGCATAAAGAAATAATTTATTTTATTTTAATTAATATTATATGATTTTAATAAATATTTATTACGTTTGAATAAATATTTTTGGTTGTATTTAAATAAACGTTAGTCTGAATTTTTTTCCAATGTATAAATGTGTAAAAAAACATTTTATGCAATTTTTTTTTCTGACTTAACATATCTTAAGGATTTCTCATCCAGCGTTTTTCTACAGTAAGCTCATTCAAAATTATTGAAAAAAAACTTGATTTTTTAGCGTATTTCGGTTTTAGTGCTATAAATTTTTTTTTTCCTTCAACACGTAGAACCATCAAATCAGAGGGAAGAACTAATTAAACATTTTCACAAACGCACCATTTTCGTATTTGATTCGAGCCTTCTTTTACATGAAAAAACAATCAGATACCCACACTTATCGCTCCGTGGTAACGAAACATCCCACAGAACTACTCCAATTGAATACCCATCGATAGAATATATACCCTTCGGCAAAAGCTCGTCCCCCTCCTTATTTATTATTCCCCCTGCATAATCCAAAGTCACCGAGTAAAATAAATAGGAAAAAAAGGGTCCCAGCAAATCCTCATCCTCCCGAAAATAATTTTTTTTTTTTTCCCACCCCATGACGTACAGCCGGAAGATAAACGGCCGTTCCCATCGCGCTTTTCAGCTGCGCTAGCGTTTCGCAGCCCACATGCGCGCACCATCTCTTTTCCTCTCTCGAGCTCCCCTACTCCCTATACCGCACTCCTCTCTTCTCGTTCAATTTTGTACACATAGTCGGTTTTGCACGACGGCCACGGCAGCCAGTGCCAGAGATCGTCTCGACGGTGGATCGACTGCGCCACAAGTGTTACCATGTGTCACACTCGGACCGCGCTGTTGCTGGTTTAAGGATCCTTTTTTTTTTATTTTTCTTTTTTTTTTTCATCCAAAGTTGTGTTTGTGCCATTGTGCTGTTTCTCCGTACCATTTAGAGTTGGTTAACCATCACAGGGATACGTCCAGTGAAGGATCGGTTTGTTTTTGCTCTGTAATCAATTTTTTTTTTTTTTTTTTTAAATAGCGTGAACGTGCAAAAAAAGGATGTCAAACGATAATACTTGGTAGACGAGAGACGAAAGGAAAAAAAGTTAACTGAGGGCGCGGGTGCGTTAATAAATAACATAGGAAGCGCAGCTGGCTGCATTAAGTAGAATCGTCCGGCTGAATGTACGGGCACGTACAAGGTGGATTTAAAAAAAAAAAACTTTTTTTTTCCCGAAACTAGTTCTCCGACACTTTAAATCATAAAATGATTTAGTGGGGGGGAAAAAAAAAATTATTGGCGATCGACTTGCGAAGAAGCTGCCCTCGGCGAGTCAATCTTCCCGAGCGGAAGGAAGCTTTCCTCCTTTTCTGAAATGAATATTGATGCGGGCCCTCCTCCCTCCCCCTTCACCCAACTCGTTATTATTCATCCTTAAAGGGGATACGTGGACCGAAGGTTGAAAGGAAAGTCAATGCAAATCGGATCTCGAGAGGAACACGTTCGTAACTACCAGTGATTTTTTTTTTTTTTTTTTTCTTTCTTTCTGCCCTCGACGCAAATACTCCGAAATCAAGTGAAAAATAGTTGTTGTTTGTTTTCTTCTTTAGCCGTTTGTGCATTGTACAAAGTCACGAATCAACCTTCCTTTTGTTTACGATGATGTTGCGCTTTTTGCCTCTTTTTTTTTTTTTTTTCTTCTCCGTCCCACTCGCGTTGGTCATAATCACTCGAATTAATAACTCATTATCCTACGTAAGAGATTCGTACATATGTATATGGTTTATGTATTGTTTCGAATGTAGATAATAACGAACAAAAAAAAAGGTTCTTCCGAATAAGATTTAATTGGACCACTCGTCTTCTTCCAAGTGGTCTCGTTAAAATATATATACATACAGTAAGAAAACTTTTATCTTTTTCATTAATTCAACTGAAAAAAAAAATAGTCAAAAGCCGATCTCTGTAAGAGGAGCTTCATCCCCCACCTATATATTCCATAGCACTGTTCATCCACACATGGTGAGTGCGCGTGAACGCGAGTAACAGAGAGAGAGAGAGAGAGAGAGAGGGCAGTAAGTTCTTTATTATCGGATTAAGCGTACATTTACATCGGGAGCGCGCACAATACGCATACGAAGAGATGATGATATAATCGCAACATCCGCCGATCCGACATGACATGTATTAATATACCTATGTGTTCGTAGCGCAGTGTGTACAATTTTCGAAAATCCGAATGTTCCTCTTACGTATACTCGGAATATCGATTATATTTTGAGTGCTGTTATGGTTTTTTTTTTTTCCCAGAGGGTGCAAAAATCGTCCCGACGTTTTTTAACTTTTTTTTTAACAGCTTGTAACATCGTGTTGGCGCTGTGTCACAAAGATCGCGGTGCGAAAATAAATTGAGAGAGAAGTTTAAGGGTTGAAAAATGACGTTTACGACCCGTGAGTGGAGAACATAATCGAAGTGACAAATTCTTTTTCTCATTTCTTCGAGTAAGATGGTTTACTATAAAAATGGTAATATTTTCTAGTTTTTGTTTATTTTTTTATTTTTATTTTTTTTTTTAACAGTCGATTGATGTTGAAATTGACAGAAAAAATGGACTTGGATTGCATATTTGCTCCACCACATAAGTTTACTGTCAATTTATGTACGGACTCAACCAACTATTTGCTTACTACCGCATCAGTTATTAATGAAATCGGGAGTCAGCGAGTAAACGTGTGAATATAAAAGTGAACTGTACTTTCATTTATTTCTTCAAATAGCGTTTATTCAATGATGAAGATTAACCTATACAGACTTAGATTTGAAGATACAATAACTCAGCTAAAATTGAAAAGTTCGTTTAAGGTAATACATATATAGGTAACAGAATTACACGCTGTTACACGTGAATAAACTATCTTGGTAATGGAACATAAATATACATATAATTTTTTCGGTGTTACAACTTTTCATAAAATATAATTTAGTTCACATTTGTTATTATTTTGCTATACATATGTAAAAAATGCTTGTAGAAAAAAAATCCATCCCATGTGTTACTTTCACTACAGTGTTTTCAATTCTTAAGGAACAGCCAGTTCTTCAAAACTATTGTTCCTAAATTTAACTTTATCATACACTTTATTTTTCTTTCTGATTACTGTAGATTTCTAATACATCTGTTCATATTATTATTATTTACCTCTGCTTTCTTATATCTAATAAATAATTACAACTGGTACATAATATGCTGTTGAGATATTGAATATAATATTTATTTTTTTTTTTTTAGTATACGTCAAACTGAATTTATTATTAAAAGCATTTTCTTTCAAATTTCATGCATTATTAATTGTATAAAATAATTGATTCATTAACATTAAATGCATACTACACGTATGTATTAGAAGTAAACATGTTTTATGTGTCTAGATTTTTAAAAGAAAAGCAATTGTATTTTAATGACTAAAGTATGTCTTAATCGATTGTAACTTGTAACTAACTCTCGGAGAGCAAAGATAAAGTTTTTTATACTTTCTTAAAAGACTGAATTTTTTTGAGTATAACAAGCCGTGTCTAACAATAATATACTAATGTTATTATAATTACGAATCTTGTAAAACTTGAAAACTTCACCATATGGTAGTTGGTATTACATTCCATGTGAATCTTGTCATGTTGAGGCACTATTTCTTATTAAGACGAGACCCACAAATATATAGACATATGTGTCCAAACTTCTTGTGACCATCGCTTATTTCAAACTTGACACTTGTGCCTTGTGAAATGACTGGTTCGGCTGAAACTTCGACATACTAAGCACTCGAAGGGTTTTCCTCTGTATGAGTTCTCTTAAGACTTGTGAGGTCACCAGCAGATCTAAAACCTTATTGATGTACCAAGCAAACGTGGAAGCGCTCGCTTGTATGTGCGGGTCCTCTTGTGTTTTTTAGATGTGGAGGTGCATGTGCTTCATGAGATTGCACTTTTGGCTAAAAGATTTTGGACAATCTGTACATCTATAGGGTTTCTCCCCGGTATGGGTCCTATTGTGCTTTGTGAGTTTATCAGAAGATGTGAAACCTTTTTGACACACCGAGCACTTGTAGGGACGCTCCCCCGTGTGGGACCTCATGTGTACTATAAGACTTCCTGAGGTAGTGAATGGCCTATGGCAAATTGAACAGGTACTACAAGGTTTGCCGGTGTGGAGGCGCATATGAGTTGTTAAGTTGATTTTTTGGCTGAAAGATTCTGGACAATCTGAGCACTTGTAAGGCTTCTCGCATGTATGGATCTTCATGTGGCTTATGAGGTTATCATAATATTTAAAACCTTTTTGACACACCGAGCACTTGTAGGGTCGCTCCCCTGTGTGGGTCCTCATGTGTACTATAAGATTACTCAAGTACGTAAATGGCTTTTGGCAGATGGTGCAGTGACTTAAAGATATGCCAGTGTGGACACGCATGTGAGCCCTGAGGGTACTTTTTAGTCCGAAAGATTTTGGACAATTTGCGCATTTATAGGGTTTCTCCCGTGTATGGGACTTTATATGCAATCGAAGGCTGCTTGGGTGAGAGAATGGCCTTTGGCAGATGGGACAGTGCCCACAAGGTATACCAGTGTGGACATGCATATGAGTTGTTAGATGGTTTTTTTGTCTAAAAGATTTTGGACAATCCAAGCACTTGAAAGGCTTTTCGCCGGTATGAGTCCTCATGTGCACGGTGTGACTACTCGGGTTAGTAAATGGCCTTTGACAAATTGAACAGGTACTATGAGGTATGCCGGTATGCAGACGCATGTGAGTTGTGAAATTGTATCTATATCTGAATGATTTTGGACAGTCTGAGCACTTGTAGGGTTTCTCTCCCGTGTGGGTTCTCATGTGATTTTTGCGGGCAGTCGAGGTTCTAAAACTTTTTGGACAAACTGAGCACCCAAAAGGTTTTTCTCCCGTGTGAGTATATATGTGTTTAATTAAATTACTTTTTTGCCCAAATTTTTTAGAACAATCTGAGCACTCAAAGGGTTTTGTCCCCGTGTGAGTTTGTTTGTGTCTTATAAGGGACATTTTTTGACTAAACGTTTTAGAACAAATTGAACACTCGAAGGGTTTCTCGCCCGTGTGAACGAGTTGGTGCGCTTTAAAATATGTAACTCTGGCAAAAGTTTTACCGCAGACCTCGCAAAGTCTCGTACAAGTGTTCTTCAGTGCTGATCTCATGGTTGGATTTCCGTTAATAATGGCCCCTGAACAGTTGATAAATAGTTGGACTTCGATGTGTGACAAACACGAAGAGAAAATTTCTATAATCTTAGTGGTAGATTTGTTGTTCCTGGTTGTTCTCCTACAGTTACTGTTGCTTATTGTTAAGTAGTTGGAATCAATTCATCTGGATTAACTGCTGTCTTTCCTACGAATAGAGCATAAAAAAATGTTTTATTTCAATGATAACTATTACAAAGAAGTTGTACGTTTAGAGACCGTTCAAGTCCTTTTGTTATATCAATTACAAAAGAGTAAATGTTCAACGATTAGTTCTACAATCTCAGTAAAAGCAAAACTTATCGTAACTCTATAGTATAAAATGTAAAATGTAAAAAGAAAGAAATGGCGATATAGAAAATCTACGTGTTACAACATACTCTGGGTATTTTTTGCATTTCAAGGTATTTACTGTGTTTTGTACAATTACATCAGGTTATTTTAATTGAAAATAAAAACTTACTATTTCTGCGTCTAGATTTCAAACCGACAATTGCTAAATATTTAGTGCCTTGTCCAAGTACACGTTACATCCAGTTATGTAGTTCTATCTAATCTTATCTTTAATATTATAGGTCTTGCCTTGCACCTTGATGAATTTATGAATTTATTTTAACTTATTAGTTCGGAAACTTGTAAAAAAATAGGCTTTGTACTATTATATTGTGTACCACTGCAAAGAGGAATATCGTCACAATGTATTCAAATTTTTCGTATCGTGGATAAATGAAAAACGTCAACGTGTACAATTTAAGGCTCAAATGCTACTGATACTACAATATATGACGTTATTTCTGTATCCATCCACAGTAAGCTTAAAAATGTTAATAGTATAATAATGACTTTAAGCCGTACGTATAGTCGGAAAGCTTCGACGTTGTGCTTCTGGGAAAAATTTACCTGACAAAAGCCATTATGCATCGTATCATGGAGAAATTAAAATTTTTCACACTATTAAAACCCATTCAATTTTCTGGAAAAATTTAACGATAAGATGTTATCGTTCAAAGCACGATTTCACAGGTAATTCAAAAGAGTTATCGAAGCATTTCAAATAAGAGCTTTGATCACATACTCTAAAAAAAAAAAATTTCCTATATTTTTTACTAAAATTCTAAGTCTGCTACTAATTTTTTTTTTATAACAACTTTTTTCCGAAAAATTCGAAGACTACTGTCGATGTGCTAATATTGTTGTCATCAGGCAAAGTGATAGGTTTATAATGCACCCAAAAAAATTATAGTACATCGAAGAAATTTTTTTAGGATTCAGAAAATATTTACCGCAGTAGTAAACAATCTGTTGAAATACAACTTCAATTCCTTATATTATGAAAATAATTGATTTAAACAGAAAAATATCGTTTTCATAAAATTCAATTTTTTCTCATTTCTGAACGGCGTTTAAACTTTGACATGTATTGAATAGTGTTACGTACGATAGCATATACTTAGCTATGCGTGCGTGCGCCTCTGCTGGCTTGGGCCTGAAAGGTGGGGGAATAGAGAAGAGAGGTGATAGGAAAGGTAGAGAGAAGGGACAGGAGATCAGCTAGAGACGCGAGAGGGTAAGGACGAAGTCCGCGAGACAATAATACACGCACAACTTCCCTCAATGATAACTAATTCTAATAAAGCATAAGTAACAACAAGTCACGCTTCTGTTTATTCCCGCACCGAGAATCCCACGTAACAATAGTTTCACGATAAAAATTACTATTGTTCATTGTCATGATTATTGGTTATCTAAATTATATATTCAAATTCAAGAGTTTCATTGGCCCAAAAGGTTATAAAACATCGATAAAAAGAATAAGAACTTATCTTTTTAATCCATGCATGCGCAGAATATGATATATGAAATGAATTATGTTTCTCGTAATTTTCTTAAAATCCAAGTGGTTAACTCAAAATTTTCACAATTTTAAAAGATTTCTTATGAAAATAGGTATAAATATAAGTTTTATTTGTAAAGATTTGTCATTTACAGTTTTAGAGTTAAAGCTATTTATTTTAGTGTTAGCACTGCGTCTTATGGATCGTAACGCGAGAAAATAAATTGGAGCAAAGTTTAAAGGATAAAAAATGACATGTGCCTTCTCTTCGCAAAAAATAATAGTGACAGTCTTTTTTATCCTCACTTCTTCGATGTNATCGTAACGCGAGAAAATAAATTGGAGCAAAGTTTAAAGGATAAAAAATGACATGTGCCTCCTCTTCGCAAAAAATAATAGTGACAGTCTTTTTTATCCTCACTTCTTCGATGTAGATGGCTTGAAATGATGTTTTACAATAAAAATTGTATTATCCTTACATTTTGTACTTATGATTTTTTTTTTTAAGACGATTTTTTGCAATTAACAAAAAAAATAGACTTCAATTGCTTATTTGTTCTGCTTATATTAGTTTTATTCCGATTTATGTAGGGACTCAAAAGGCCTTTTTACTAACTTTTTGTTTACTACCGCATCAGTTATTAAAGAAATTGGGACTTATATTTATTTTACTAAATAGAATTTATTCAATAATGCAAATTTACATACATAGACTTAGATTTAAAGATTTTGAATCAAACTTACAATAATTCAGCTTAAATTAAAAAGTTCGTTTAAAGTAACACGGATAGGTAAAATAGCATTACACGCTGTTACACGTAAATACATTGTTTTATTTATAGAAGCTAAAAATGTATATCAATTGCATTTCAATATGACAATTTTTCATAACAGATATTTTAGCTGACATGTATTTTTGTTTGTTATACAGATTCGAAAAATGTGTCTAAAGAATAAAAAATCTGTCTCATAATTTATTATGTACTATGGTATTTCCAAGTTAAGAAACGTAGTTTTCTAATTTTCTGATTCATCCACTCATATTATCATTCTTTGCCTATAATTGTTTATATCTAATTAGTAATTATAATTAGTATACACACTCATGCTTTTGAGATTTTGACTAAAATGTTGGTTTTTTTTTAGCACCTACGCATACAATCAGTAGATACTTTTAAATTGATAAAAAGTTTACATGCACCATTAATTAAATAAAATGATTAATACAATAAACTAACATCCATGTTTCATGCATCAGTTAAGATTCAAACCATTTTGTGTACAAGGTAGCTTCGAAGGCGTCTCTATGACCACTATGTTCTGCTAGTCATCATCTCTTTTCGTGTATATTTACTGAATTTTCTAGAAGAGTTTTTCCTTGCATGGGTCCTCATATGCTTTTTAAGACTACTCGCGTGCCTAAATGGCTTTTTGCAGATGGTACAAAAACCGTAAGGTATACCTGTGTGAATACGCATGTGAATTTTAAGAGTACCTTTTTGCGCAAAAGATTTTGGACAATTTGCACACTTATAGGGTTTTTCCCCGGTATGGGTCCGCATGTGATCTGCGAGTGAACCAGAAGATCTAAAACCTTTTTGACACACCGAGCACTTGTAGGGTCGCTCCCCTGTGTGGGTCCTCATGTGTACTATAAGATTACTCGAGTACATAAATGGCTTTTGGCAGATGGTGCAGTGACTAAAAGGTATGCCAGTGTGGACGCGCACATGAATACTAAGACTGCTTTTTAGTCCGAAAGATTTTGGACAATTTGCGCACTTATAGGGTTTTTCCTCTTTGTGGGTCCACGTATGCTTTACAAGATCACTAGAAGTTGTAAAACTTTTTTGACATACTGAGCACTTATAGGGTTTCTCCCCTGTGTGAGTCCGTAAGTGCATTATGAGATTGGATTTTTGACTAAATGATTTAGAACAAGTTGAGCACTCGAAGGGTTTCTTTCCCGTGTGAGTCATCATGTGCCTTGTAAGGTTACCAGATAATGTAAAACCTTTTCCACACGTTGGGCACTTAAACGGTTTCTCTCCCGTGTGGGTTTGCATGTGCCTCTTGAGATTGCCATTTTGGCTAAAAGATTTTGGACAATCTGTACATCTATAGGGTTTTTCCTCTGTGTGAGTTCGCATGTGCTTTGTGAGGACACTGGAATATGTGAAATTTTTTTGACATACTGGGCAGTTTAAGGATTTATCTCCTGTGTGGGTTCGTCTGTGTAATATAAGATTCGTTTGTTTGCTAAATGTTTTGGAACAATAAGAGCACTTGAAGGGTTTCTCGCCAGTGTGGGTCCCCATGTGCGTTAAGAAATTAACTGAAGATTTATAACCTTTTTGACACACTGAGCATATATAGGGTTTCTCCCCCGTGTGGGTCCTCTTGTGCTTTGTCAGTTCACCAGAAGTTTTAAAACCTTTTTGACATACTATGCACTTAAAAAGTTTCTCCTCTGTGTGAGCAGTTCGTATGTGTTTTATGATAGCATCTTTGTACCCAAAAGTTTTAGAACAATCTGAGCACTCAAAGGGTTTTGTCCCCGTGTGAGTTTGTTTGTGTCTTATAAGGGACATTTTTTGACTAAACTTTTTTAAACAAATTGAACACTCGAAGGGTTTCTCGCCCGTGTGAATAAGTTGGTGCGCTTTAAAATGTGTAAGATTGGCAGATAATTTACCGCAGATCTCGCAAAGTCTCGTACAAGTGTTTTTCAGTGCCGATCTCATGGTTGGATTTCCGTTAATAATGGTCCCTGAACAGTTGAAAAATAGTTGGACTTCGATGTGTGACAAACACGAAGAAAAAATTTTTATAATCTTATTGGTAGCTTCGTTGTCCCCAGTTCTTTTACTCCAGTAACTGTCATTTATTGTTGAGGAACTGGATACGTTGCTTTTTTGTCTATAAATAGAACAGAAAAATCAATTATTTGAACGGAAAGTATAACAACGAATTTATACGTTCATATATTTTTAATTTTTGCTGTTAGACGTATTGGATGGAGTACTATTTTCTTGTTCTTACTGCTTATGTAGTATAGCGAAAAACTTAATTTTATGTGTAATGCATATAATTACGTTCTAATGGAAATGCCCAAGGGGATCTT